TCCTTGGCAGTGCATCTACTGGACTTTTTATGTTGAGATTATGATGTGAGAAAGAAATATATTTCTACCCTGCGTAAGACACTATATTTTGGGGTTTTTAATTGAAAAATAATTGTATATATTTGTGGGATGTCATGTGATGTTTTGATATGTATATGTAGAAAGATTAAATGCATCCTAATACCCTAATGTATCTGTCACCTCACCTGCTTAGTTTTTATGGTGAGAATGTTTAAAATCTACTCTTTTAACAATTTTTGAAATATATATTATCAACCATAGTTACCATGCTGTGTGATATAACACTAAATCTTCTGCCTCCTGTCTAACTGAAGCTTTGTCTCCTTTGACCAACATCTCTCCCTGACCCCAGCCTCTGGTAACTACCATTCTACTCTCTGCTTCTTTAAGTTTGACTTTTTTAGATTCCACATGTAAGTGAGATCATGTGGTATTTCTACCTGGCTTATTTTACTTAGCATAATGTTCTCCAGGTTCATCTATGTTGTTGAAAATGACAGAATTTCCTTCTTTTGTAAGCCTGAATAACATTCCATTGTGTGTGTGTGTATGTATGTGTATATAAATATACATATATGTGTATATATATATCTTGCATTTTCTTTATCCATTCATTCATTGATGGACACTTACGTAGTTTCCATATCTTGACTATAGTGAATAGTGCTACAGTAAACATGGGAGTGCAGATATCTTTTCAACGTCCTTATTTCTTTTTTCCTTCCTTCCTTCCTTCCTTTCTCCCTCCCTCCCTCGCTCTCTTTCTTTCTTTCTCTCTCTTTCCTTCTCTTTCTTTCTTTCCTTCTCTCTCTCTCTTTCTTTGCTTTGCTTTGCTTTTTTTCTTTTTCCCTGAGACAGAGTCTTGCTCTGTCACCCTGGCTAGAGTGCAGTGGTGTCATGATAGCTCACTGCAACCTCAAACTCCTGGGCTCAAGCGATCCTCCTGCCTCAGCCTCCCTAATAGCTGAGACTACAGGCATGCACCACCATGCTCGGCTAATTTTTATATTTTTTGCAGAGAGAGGGTCTTACTCTTGCTCAGGTTGGTTTCGAACTCCTGGCCTCAAGTAATCCTCCCACTTGGCCTGTTATTTCAACTTCTCTGGACATATACCCAGAAGTGGGATTGCTGGATCATAATGGCAATTCTGTTTTTAGCTTTTTGAGGACCTTCCATACTGTTTTCTAAAGTGTCTATACTAATTTACATTCCCACCAACCGTACCAGGGTTCCCTTTTCCCCACATCCTCGAGAACACTTGTTATCTTTTATCTTTTTGCTAATAGCCATTCTAATAGGTGTGAGGTGATATCTCGAGGTGGTTTAATTTGCATTTCCCTGGTTATTAGCGATGTGGAGCATTTTTTCATATATCCATTGACCATTCATGTGTCTTCTTTTTCAAAATGCCTGTTCAGGGCCTTTGCTCATTTTTTAATTGGATTATTTGTTTTCTTACTATTGAGTTGTTTGAGTTCCTTGTGTAAGTAGCCCCTTATCAAATGTATGGTTTGCAAATTATCCTAATCTGTGGGTTGTCTCTTCACTCTGTTAATTGTTTCCTTTGCTATACAGAAGCTTTTTAGTTTGAGGCAATCCCACTTGTCTATTTTTGCTTTTGTTGCTTTTATGGTCTTATCCAAGAAATCATTGCCCAACCAATGTTGTGGAGCTTTTCAGCTATGTTTTCTTCTATTAATTTTACAGTGTCAGATCTTATGTGTAAACTTTAATCCATTTTGAGTTGATTTTTGTATATAGTGTGAGATAAGGGCTCAATTTCATTATTCTGCATGTGGATATTCAGTTTTCTCAACACCATTTATTGAAGAGACTGTCCTTCCCCCATTGTGTGTTCTTAGCACCTTTGTCAAAAATCAATTGACTGTAAATACTTGGGTTTATTTCTGGGCTTTCTATCCTGTTCCATTGGTTCATGTGCCTTATTTTAATGCCAGTACCTTGCTGTTTTGATTGTAATAGCTTTATATAGTATATTTTGAAATCAGGGAATGTGATGAAATTAGGAAGTGTGATGCTTCTGGCTTTGTTCTTTTTGCTCAGAATTGCTTTGGCTATTTGGGGTCTTTTGTGGTTCTATATGAATTTTAGTATTGTTTTCCCTGTTTCTGTGAAATTGGGATTTTAATAAGGGATTGTACTGAATCTGCAGATTACTTTGGACGTGCAGACATTTTAATAATAATTCTTCTAATCCATGAACATGGGATATCTTTCCATTTATTTGTGTCCATTTTTCTTAGATTAATGTTTTATAGTTTTCAGTGTACAGATCGTTCACCTCCTTGGTTAGATTTACCCCTAAGTATTTTATTTTTTTTATGCTATTGTAAATGGGATTGTTTTCTTAATTTCTTTTTCATATAGTTTGTTAGTATATAGAAATGCTACTGATTTTTGTATGTTGATTTTGTATCCTGCAAACAGAGATCATGCTGGTGATATGATCTTATATAGAGAAATCTTGTGTATATAATCCATATATACCTCTATATATTATATATCTTATGTATGCCTATATATTATATCTTTCTATATGTATGTTATACATCTATGTTTTCTCTATATGTATCTTAAATATATTTTACCTATATTATTTGTATTATATATAGATATATAAAAAACTTATATACAGAAAAATTTTTCCTTTCCTATCGGGGTGCCTTTTATTTCTTTTTCTTACCTAATTGCCCTGGCTAGGACTTCTGGTACTACACTGAACAGAAGTTGTGAGAGTCGGCATCCTTGTCTTGTTCCTGGTCTGAGAGGAAAAGCTTTAAACTTTTTATCATTGAGTATAATGTTAGCTGTGGGCTTGTCGTGTATGGTCTTTATTATGTTGTGGCACATTCCTTCTATACCTATTTTGTTGAGTGCAGAATTTTTATTATGAAAGGATGTTGAATTTTGTCACATGCTTTTTCTGCATCTATTGAGATGATCATGTGGTTTTTGTCTTTTATTTTGTTAATACCGTGTATCACATTTATTGATTTACATTCAATATATTGAGCCATCTTGCATCCCAGGGTTAAATCCCACTTGATCATAGTGAATGATTTTTTTAATGTGTTGTTGAATTCAGTTTGTTAGTATTTTGAGCATTTTTGCATCAATATTCATTAGAAATACTGGCCTGTAGTTTTATTTTCTTGCATTGTCCTTGTCTGGCTTTGGTATGAGGGTAATGCTGGCCTCATAAAATGAGTTTGGAAGTATTTCCTTCTCTTCAGTGTTTTGGAAGAGTTTGAGAAGGATTGGTATTAGTTCTTCTTAAATGTCTGATAGAATTCATGTCAGCAGTTATGCTATCAGGTCCTGGGCTTTTCTTTGATGGGAGACTTTTGGTTACTGATCCAATCTCCTTACTCATTATTAATCTGTTCAGATTTTCTATTTCCTACTGACTCAGTCTTGGTAGGTTACGTGTTTCTCAGATTTTATCCTTTTCATTTAGATTATTCAATTTGTTGGTATATAATCATTCATAGTATTCTTTTATGGTCCTTTGTATTTCAGTTGTAATGTGTCCTCTTTCATTTCTGATTTTATTTGAGTCTTCTCGTTTTTTTATTAGTCTAGCTAAAGATCATATGTTTTAAATTAATGTTTTGTGTAATTTTTTTCCCTCAAATTCCTGATATAACCTTTCATTTATTATATTTTTCAGAACTGGTAGAGTGCCTCCTTTTTCACAGGGAACATGCAGACGTATTTCTTTTTTTCTAATTTGGTAGGTGAGTTTCAAATTTCATAAAAAAGCGTCAATAAATTACTTGGAGTGATGTCAGTGTATGAGAACCCGTCTACACCCCAAAAGCTCCCAGTGACTGTTTGATGAATGAGTTTATTTCCTCCCCTAAGGCCTTTCTTCCCACCAGGAAGATAAAATCAAGGTAAGAGGCTTCACCGAGGTCAGCTTCACCCCTGAGTCTTCTGCTGGGTAACCTGAGTCCTCTGCCCTCTGACTCTCACAGGGGTGCCCCCTCACCCTTCTGACAGTGTTTCCAGACTTGAACAAGGTTGTAAGCTTGTGGAAAGTAGAACCACTGCCTTTCCCAACCTCCTAGGAAAACAGATACATGCCACAAAGGATGTTTTCAGTAAAGACTTTGTGGTAGCATCTTGAAAACAGCCTTATGTTATGAGCATTTACCATCCTGGGGATAACTTCAGGTGGCGTCATTCAATGTTGTTTTTAATCTCAACTTTGTTTTCATATTTATTGAGCGACTGACTGGCAGAACATCTTGTAAATTAACAGAAAATTTAGGGAAATATTTTCCATATTCGTTTTAAAAAATCATGTGAAATGTTTACTATTCAAACAGGCAAGAGAGTGGTTTTTATAACTAGTGAGACCAAAATTGTCTCATTCATTACTTCATGTAGACATGAAAAACTTAGATTCCACTAATAAATTCATAAGTTAGTATAGACAAAAGGTTTAAAATAAAACTATACATGTTTAAAAAGAGTATTTTAATTGTATACAATCCATGAATGAGTATGTGTGTGTATGTCATTGGACATTACAGTTCACATAAGATGAGAACTAAAGCTATATTTCCAAAAAGTACTTGCTGATCGCATTTCCTAATCAAAGAATCTAGAAACTAGTGATTTAGGAAATGTTGAAATATCAGCAAGTAAAACTTTTTTCTATTTCATTATTTTAAGTTCCATGTTATGGTGAAAGTAATTATTATTACTCAGTAATGGAAACATTTGAATGGGAAAACTTAGATGAAAAATTAGTTAACGTTTCACCCACGTAATACAAGTCCTAATTTTTTGTCAATCCTAAAATTAAAATCTCCTTAGTGTTCGTATGTTTTTGACAACTCTTTATACTTAGTAATTCATTCAACACTCATCTTCAAAACAGAATAAAGATTTGCCCTCATTTCACAGCTGCCAGCAGAAGACCCATCATTTCGACCCTCTTGCTCAGAAGAGCTTTATAGTATAATCATATTAGGTGCTTTACATGATGCCTCTGTTGATTGGATTTTAAATTCTTAAATTCTTTTAAATTCTTAATGACATTTACAGTCCTACCTTCATGGCTGAGAAAAAATAGGACAATTTACTTAGTAGTTACCTAACATTCTTTTACAGTAAGTGGGAATGTTTCCTAATGTGTAAAAACCTACAAATGAAGAATAGAATTTTCTGGATCAAATTGGAAGTCTGGATCATATCGAAGTCTCCAGATTAAAGTATTAGAAAGCAACAGTGGAAAAAAACATACTCATCTTTGGGAGAAATAAGTAAACATATGTATTAAGCTCAAAATGGTAGCATAGGTAACTTCATGCAACATATAAGAAGCTTTTGGTTAAAGTTAGTACTGGGAGCCTTAATCTTCATAATTTTCATCAAGATATGCAAGTTTAACAATTATCTGTGACAGTATTTTTAAAGCCTCATAGCCCTTTTTCTTGATAATTATTGAAGCTGGGTGATTGGAATATAAGGGTTCCTTGTACTGTTCTGTTTATTTTTGTATATTTTTAAATGTTTCCATAATTGAAAAATAAAGAAAACACGAACTATGGGAACCTCTCATTTGTCCCTTACTGAGATTTTCCAGATAAATTGGAGTTTAAAGAAAAAGCTTATCATGCCCATGCTGGTTAAAGATCATTCCAAACCATCTCCCCGAAGCTTGCTTCCTTTCTTTATTTTTTTATTTTAATTTTTTTAGAGACAGAGTCTCACTCTGTCACCCTGACTAGAGTACAGTGGTGTCATCATAGCTCGCTGTAACCTCAAACTTCTGGGCTCAGGCGATCCTCCTGCCTCAGCCTCCTGAGTAGCTGGGACTACAGAGGCGCACCATGCCACCCAGCTAGTTTTTTTATTTTTTGTAGAGATGGGGTCTTGCTCCCGCTCAGGCTGGTCTCGAAGTCCTGGCCTCAAGCAATCCTCCTGCCTTGGCCTCCCAAAGTTCTAAGTTTACAGGCGTAAGCCACTGCGCCCAGTGCCAAGCTTCCCTTAAATCAGGCATTGGGGTGGTGTCCGTGCTGGTTGGGCATCCCCATTGTCCCTGAGTCTGCAAGCTGCTCCCCAGAGTTGCCCTCTCCACTGCTAGGGCATCGCCTCCTCCCCCAGCAGCCAATCTGCATTCCTTCCCTGCGGAGATGACTCCAGGCAGCCAGACGCTATGGTCCCTTGAGGTAGTTGTGGAAACACTGTATCATGTTTCTCTAACCTACTGTCTTTTCAGTATTCCAGATGTTTTGTTCAGTCTTTTTGATTGCAGTAGAGACAAATTACATTGAAAGTTTGTCCACTTGCTGCTTATTTGTAGATGAGGTTTATCGAAATACTGTTTACACATTATGTAAAATTCATCCTTTTTATTATATAGTTCTAGGAATATTGAAAAATCACAAAAATAAAGACAGAATTTTCCATTGCTCTAACGGTTCTCTACTCCACTGCTCCGCCTCACTCTCCTCACCCCTGTCTGTGGAAAACACTGATGTGATTTCCGTACCTACAGTTTTGCCTTTTCAGATCCTATAAATGGTCTCAAAGACTCTATAGCCTTTTGTGTCTGGCTCCTTTCACTTAGCATAATACTTTTTTCTTTTAAAGCAACTTCATTTTGAAATAATTTTAGGCTTACAGAAATGTTGCAAAAATATCACACAGAGTCCCCACGTACTATTTACCCAATTTCCCCCAATGTTAACATCTTAACCAGAGTACAGTGATTTAAACCAGGACATTTAGTATACCTAGACATTTACATATGCAGTACTGTTAACTAGAACAATTTACAAACTTCATTCAGATTTTGCCAGTTGTTCCACTAATGTCAGATCTTGAATCTGTCAACTGAAGAATGACAAGGTTCATAAATTTGGAAGGGGCAGCTTTTTTTCTTGTAAGGGGTTCCAGCCTGCAGGCGGGCCATCTCGCGGGCTAGGGAGCATAGTCTCAGGCAGAAGCTGAGAACGAGCACTTTGAGGGAATGGTAGAGGAATGGGAATTTTTGCAGAGTGGAGTGGCTGAATATACATACTTAAGCTATAGGGAGGGGTCATGAATATTTATGAAAGGAGAAACATGCGCATGCGCAATTGATCTTTATGCCCCTTTATGGGGTCCGTGTTCAGAATATGGCAGCCCTCTGGTGTCGAAAGGTGGAGCACATCCCCTATAGACTGGCCAGAACCACTCCACGACTGTGGCCCCTTACCAGGAAGGAATGCCGGTCAGTCGTAGTGCCAAAACCACAGGAAGGGAGGAGCAGCATTAGGCAGTTGGTTGAAATCCAAGTGGAGCAAGTCTTTCCAAAGGGCTGGTTCTGTTTACCCCTCAGGGAAGAAAGCGTGATGGCAGATAAGGGGGGGGTGTATAATGAGGCATGTTTGACCTTCAGTCTCGTCATGGCTGGGGTTTCAGTTTTTTAAGGTATCTCTGGGTCCCCTTGGCCAGCAGGGGGTCTGTTGAGTCAGTTGGGGAGCTTAGGACTTTATTTCTCAACTCCAGTCTAGGATCCCTCATTACACTTAGTTGTCCTGGCTCCTTAGGGCCTGGAGTAGTTCTCATCTTTCAGAAATTTGATACTTTTTTGAAGGGTATTGGCCAATTTTGTTGTAGAGGGCGCCTCAGAGTTTGGTATTTTCTCCTTGTCAATTGGGGGAAAATGCCACACGGTGATGCTTTGTCCCTGTCACTGCAGCACATGAGGAGGTGGGTGAAGTCGACGTGTCTTATTACTGGTGATGTTAACTTGATCACTTGGTTAAGGTGATAGCTGCCAGGTTTTCTACTGCAAAGTTACTGTTGTGTAACACTTTAAAGATTTATTCATGTTGTTGAATGGATTAGCAGTTTGTTCTTTTTGTGGCTGCATAGTATTCATGGTGTGGCTAAACCACAATTTGTTTACCCCTCTATAAGTTGAAGGTCATTGGGTTTGCTCCCAGTTTGGGGCCCGGCACTATCCAATGGGCCTTGGTGTTCTGTTGAACGTAAACCACACCACAGAGCATCAGCACCAGACAGGGCCACTCTGTGACCACGATGGATCAGGACACGAACAAGACCACTCAGTAATCATGTCTGAACTCAAAGACAAGGACATGGCTAAACCACAAAAACTGCCAGACACTCCCCCATCCTAGCTAACAGGAGGGATGCTGCTGCTTGACCAATCACTTTAGCCTAACTCCATTCCTTCCCCCTTTTAGATAAGATTCCTCACCATATCCAGTCGAAGTATCCTGTTTCCTAACAGCATCCAATCCAGAACAAAACCCCACTTCCATGAACCCCTCCCCAATGTGACTTAACTCAAGCCCAAATCCTATGGTAAATCCATTCTAACATTCTGAGATGTGGTCCCCAACCCCTGGCCCTGCGGCATAGTGGGGTGGTGGGGGGGCACAGCAGGAGGTGAGCGGTGGCCAAGCAAGCGAACCCATCTCTTGCATCACCGCCTAAGCTCCACTCCCCACCCCCTACCCCAACCCCGTGGAAAAAGGGTCTTCCACGAAACCGGTCTCTGATGCCAAAAAGGTTGGGGACCGCCGCTGGGACACCTGCAGTTCCTCATGGTCCGCTCTGTCTCTTGCAACCTGCTCAACTGCTCAACTGCAGGTGTGTTCCTGGCCTTTGGCTGCGAGGCACTGGCAAACCAAATAATATATAAACATATATATTGAAAATCCTTGTTTCTGCTCTTCATACATAAATTCCCCACCCCACGCTCCGTGCTTTTTACTAACTTCTTGTGAATTTTTTTAAACATAAATGCAAATGAGTACTAAGGTAATAGTCTTACATCTCTTTCCCTTTCTCTTTCAAAACACTACTTGCATCTTACTTTTCCCCCCTCAACATAATATTCTGGGGATCTCCATCAGATTAGAATGAAGTTTCTTTTTCTGTTTTTTTGTTTTGTTGTTAATTGTGGTATAAAATACACATACCAAAGTTTGCCATCCTAACCATTTTTAAGGGTACAGTTCAGTGGTGTTAAGTGTATTCACATTGTTGTGCAACCAGTGTCCTAAACTCTTTTGATCTTGTGAGACTGAAACTGTATACTCACTCTTTTTAAGTATAATTTACATACAGTAAAATTAACCCTTGTGAGTTCTATGAGTTTTGAAAGATAAAATCATGTAACTACCGCCATAATCAAGATAAAGGACAATTCTGTTGCCCTCCCCCAAAAATCCCCCACGTCTCTGTGTTCACTCCTCCCCACTCTGACAACCACTGATGTTCCCTGCCCCCATAGCTTTGTTTATCCAGATGTTATGTAAATAGAATCATACGTACATTCTTTTTTTATAGTGGCCAACGTACATAATGAGAATGTGCCACTGTTGATTGAACTCATCCCCTACAGTTGGATACTGAAGTTATTTCTAGTCTTTTACTGTTTACCACCATGGTCTAACCTAGGATCTGTGGCTACGTCACTTTGGACATGTGTAAGTCTAACTTGTAAAAGTTCTCAGACTTGAGATTGCTGGGTCAAAGGGACAATGCATTTGTCATTTTGGTAGCTTATCCTAAGAGGGATTTATCATTTGGGGAAATGTGTTATTTTTCTATTTTTCCTGTATGCCCAGATCTTTAATCCTCAGTTCTGCCAACATTTGGCCCACTAAATGGAAGTCAGCTCTGCCGATTGTCACTGTCATTGATACAAATGTTGTCCTTCTCTCGGTTTGTTTTCTGTTTATAAAATTCCTTAGGTATAGATAGATTTACTAAATGTGCTTTAGGTGCTACAAGTTTCTCCGACACTATGTCACCTTAATCCTGTGTGTTGTCGCAGTACATGTCTTCCCTTCCTAGTTCAGTTCTCAGTTAGAAATTACATTTTCAGAGAAACTGTACTTTGGCCAGAAGTTGACATCCATGGTTTTCATACCTTTTTAAAAACAGAAGTTTTTCAAATGAATCTTCGCATCTAACCCTTTTCCCCAAGCCTCTAAGGCAGTGGTCCTCAAATTTGAGTGGTTCTCAGAATCACCTGGAAATGGATTATGGGCTCCACTCCCAGAGTTTCTGATTCAGTGGATCTGGGGAAGCCTGAGACTGCATTTCTAACAAGATCTCAGGGGATGGTACCCTGGGTGGTCTGGGGAACCCGCTTTGAGAACCACTGCCCTAGGGCACCTCTGCACATCCTAGGAGTGCTTGAGAGCACAAATTGAAATCGGCCAGTTTAGAGGCTGAATATCATGGAGATCTGTTACTAAAGATTTTTATTAAGGTCATTCTTTATATATATATATATAAACACACATATATATATATAGAGAAAGAGAGAAAGAGAGAGAAAGACAGAGAAAGAGAGAGACAGGGTCTTGCTCTGT